GTTAGGGGACAGGGAGTTGAGGCAAACCTAAGTGAGCCCTGTCTGAGATGAAGAGCCGCTGCTTCCAGTTTGACAGCCCTTTGGTCTCATTCTTGCGGATCTCGTCAAACAGTTGCGACAAATGGATGACAACCCCATTGCCAACCACTGCCACACAATTGCTGTTAATTATACCACTCGGCAACAGATGAAAGTCAAACTCCACGTTCCCGACCACTACGGTGTGACCCGCGTTATTGCCTCCCTGTCCAACACATTGCACACAAATAAATCAATTTATGGCTGTTTTCAAACGAAATGCACACCATTTAGTCAAATGTCTTATTAATAACATATTCATGATTTTATTCAATCATTTAAATGTTTAGTCATTGCTATTGACTCTCATTAGGAATCAATGCTATAATGAAACAGAATTTCAAAGAATTCTTGACAACCAATGGAGTGATAAATATATAAAAATCTATACAAATATCATGAGAAGTGTTGAGTACATACCTGACACCGACAGACAATGTCTGCATCCATGGCCAGAAGGTCGACCACTTTGCCTTTGCCCTCATCACCCCATTGGGCGCCCAACACAACACACGCTTTGCTGTGATTCTTGGGTGGACTGCCATTGGAGTTGCCGTTCAGATGAACCAAATTCTTGACGTTTTCCTCGCTTTCCATCGCTTATGAGGTCTCAAACAGACAGCTATTCTCAGCAGTGAATTGAGGCCACAATTGTCTGCAAACACTGACAATGATAGCAATGATAGGCAACACAACAGCTATTTATTGCTAAAACTAATGCCAAATAAATATCAAAGTGTTAGCCAAACATATGATGCGATAAAGCTCAGCAAAGACAATATTAGCTCAATGAAACAGACAATGTTCACTACTATTGCCTGTACTTCGCTCCACACACACCATACAGTCCTATGCAATGCCTGTGCAATACATGTGCGTGAAGACTCCCGGAGCTCATAGATATAGTGTATGCGTGCTATGGCTATGACAGTGAACGCTATGATAGTGTGTGTGTCCAACAGAATCGCACAGCTATTCGATGCCTTTCCCTTCCACTCCCTCTCTAGT